TAACGACATGATCTTTAAATTAAGACGTGTGGATATCGACTTAGAGATCATTGTTGGGAGTAACGTTCGACTTTACAAATGATTGGTCGAGGATAATAACGACATGATCCTTTAATTAAGACGTGTGGATATCGAATTAGAGATCATTGTTCGACTTAACAAATGATTGATTGCACGAACCACTTGCTCATAATCTTTTCAAAAGTGCCGATACTAAGAATAAAAAAAAGATACCAAATGTGAATGGCCATCTCTTTGCGTGATACTCACGAAATGAGAATCAAGTAATTTTCCTTCATAGACAATGCGCTATTGAGTCCTAGAATACACTCAATTTGTTCAGAGAAGTAAAACTTATGAGGCGTTACTTTAGTTCTTTCCAAGAAAGTGGCAATCAAATGGGAGCCTGAAAATATAAACCATTTGAAGATGGCGTTCATGCTTCACTTAATTTTAAGTTTCTAATTTTCTTTAATGTTTTGAGGAAATAATAATTCGTTCATCTTGAAGAACTCATTTCCACTAGATGAACCAAAGAAGTTTCTATTGACTTTTCCACATTATATTTACCTTTTAAACTTCTCAAACCTTCAAACAGTAGGGCAGATGTTACCATACAATTCGTACTAAGGAAAATATTACGAAGATAATTGAAACCAAACAAATTCTCAATGAAATAACTGGATAGTCCCTTTTTTCCCAACCCAGTATATGTGTGGTTGTGTTGATCTTGAATTTTTCTTCTATCTTTAATATTATGTACTCAAATTGATCTTCTCTCTTCTAACTTTGAGGTTCGCATTTTAAATCTTCGTTCTCACTTTATCCATTACATCTTATACTCATTTTAATATATGTTTCATAATTCCCTCGTATCAAAACACTTTGCTGAAAGTAAATGTCTAAATTCGCTGTCTTGCACTCGGACAGAAATTTTTTATAAAAAAATAGTGACACATGCTAGTCTATGCCATATTTCATTCAGTCTCCCGTGTGTATATGTACTAATATATTTTATTACCTTTATTTAGAGCATTTATACTGAAATCTTAATTAAATAATGTCTAAAGGTGCTTAAACTTCTAACCTTAAGAAATGTGATGAAAAATCACGTTAGGCCTAAGATGTATTTTTTACTAACATGCTTTTTTTAGTCCATACAAAACTGATCTCAAACATTTTACACCATATCGCCTATTGGAAATAAACTGTACTTCAGAAACACTTCTGGCTGATGCCGAGTTCTAATTTTAAAAGAAAAGCGTCATCAGTTATGACCTAGAGCGAAAAAAAAGATCGATATTAAATGTTATTTTTATACGCTTCATTTTCGAATTTCCTAATTGGAACAAAGAAACGGAGAACAAACATCTGTAGTATAACCAAATTTATCTTAGTTTATCCTTAGAATGTCTATTTGACTCAAAGAAAATCCTATATTACCACCCACAATTTATTACTCACTATATTTATTTCCCTTACTCTATTTTAAGGGATTTTTTTTTCTAATGGATCAGGGTCATCATTCTTAACTATGCAATTACTTACCAGATAATTCAATTACTTGTTTGAAATAAAGGATTACTGTTTCATACGCATACAAAAAGGTTAAAGTTTAGTATAGTAACACCTTGGTATTTATGTCCAAACATCATATTGGGGGCTGGAATGTTAACTTCAAGGACAGTTTTTGTCTCTTCTATTGATGCCTTGTATTATAGTTATTTCTTTCTTAATCTTGTTTCTACTTTATTTATTTATTTATTTTTTGTGAGCAGCCACCTTCCCACTTCTGGCTCCAGTCAGCCTAAGGTGGTAAAGGTGTAGGATATTGTGGGCTAGAGCACCCACATCTGCTCAATTATTATTTTTTTCTTAATCATGTGAGGCCGACAAAACCAGGGCACATTGCATAATGACCCACCTTATGATTTTTGCCTCAACATTGGATGTTTGTATTGTGACTGCGATTTTTTTTGTCATGAATTTATATTTAATTAGATTTCATCTGAGGTTTGGATATTCTGCATAAGATTCGCGATATTTTTCCTTTTTTAATGTATATATATATATATATATATAATGACCC